GCCCAGGTCCCGAGGGCGGACGTGCGCTGCTGTGGCGCGGTGTTGGGAGTGGGCGGGCGGGCTGGCCAGCGCCGGGAAGCCTGTCATATTCTGAAACGGCCTGGTCTGAGCCGTTGCCAAATCCGCTAATCTCAGCGCTGGCGGGTTCCTCTTGCTCAAAGGGGGCTCCATCAGAACTACACAATCAGACCCATAGACCCTCACTGGGGATACTTTTTTCCCTCTGCCCGCCTTCAAAAACATGTATATATTAGGCGCTCTTTAACTTCTTTGTCCTGGCTTCCTAACTCTGCTTATTCCCGTTCCCACTCTGTCCTCCAGCGATTGGCAGAGCGAACATCACATTTGAGCTGCACAGTGGGACAGAGATTTTGGAAATGGCAAGGGTGGGATTGGAGGGAGCCGCGTGATTGGCAGCAGCCGCGGCTGCCCGATTGGCTCCCATTCAGGCCCCTGGCCCAGCGGGAATCCGCCCCTGTGCTCACTGACGCCTTCGCTTTCGCTTCGTGCCCCCTCCTCCCGTGGAGCCTTGCGTCCCCGCCTCCCCGGGGGATGCCCAAGTTGCACTTGCAGAAAGTTTGCGTTGGGCCTGCGCGCGCAGCGCCCCGCGTTCCCATGACACGCCTGGCGGAGAGCGTGCGCCGGCACGCGGCCGAAGGGCGCCGGGCAGCTCTGGGCTGGGGACCCCCCGGGGGGCAAAAGGCTGGGGGGAGCCCCCAACTTCAAAAACCTCCGCTAGCTGCAGGCAGCGTTCCTTCCAGCATCCAAATGCTTTCTACCTCCTTCCTTGGAAGAGCTCCGGGCTGCTCTCTGGGGAGGAGGGTGAACAGATGTATGCCCGTTATCGTACTTGCAGAGGTGATGCTAAAAACTTATTTGGGAAGGACACTCAATCTTTCGCGCACTCACGTAGGGCGCACAGATAGATGGAATGAGGAAGGATATTAAAGTCCTATTGGTTGGAAAATGCCAGGTGAAGTCAAAATAAATCTTTCCCAAAAGGAACCGTTTTACCTCGACTTTTTAGCTCATGGAATCCTTTTCAGCATGGTTCAAAGGAGTTGGCTCGAAGTGTAATCTCACTGCTCATCGGTTCTAGATCTGCCGTTTCCAATTACATTTATCGGGAGAAAAAACATCGGGCAGTGATTCTGACTTTTGCCTCTCGGAGCTACAGTGGCAGGGCAGGCCAAACAGCATCTCTCTAGAGGGACGCAGCTAAATAAACGATATCCGTTAAGCAGAAGTTCTCCTTCCGGTCCAGAACGTATTCCATATGTGTGCCTTAGTTTCTTTGAAAGTGTCACAAATTAGAATTGATCCAATACAATAATTATATTAAAATGAAGCAATATCTTTGTGATTTATTTACTAATAGAATAACCTTTTATCCTGTTATCCTTTTCTAATAAACTCATCTAGAAGAAGAGATGTCTTACTTGAAAACCATGAACACTGGCTTAAAAAATAAGCAAGGCCCTTTCAAGCAATTTGCTATCAAATCTTTTAAAAAAGAGAAATAAGTTATTGCATCACTTTGGGGGGCAAAGAAATGTGACATCACTCAAACTTTAAGGCTCTTAACTGCCCCCAAAGTGTCACTTCAGCTTTAAAAAGAAAACATCTTAAGATTTTGCCACGTTCCATGATGCTCAAAAATTAAAGTCAGGGTTTAAAATTTTAATTTTGCTGCCCTCAGTAAAATTATTTGAAAAAAGGGATAATGACTAAACTGTGATTTTTTTCTTTTAGGATACAGTAAAACATGTTACCAGCTTAATTCGTTTACAGTCCAAGTTAAAAACACACACAAACTACATAAAGCCATCATCTGGAAGATCATCCTGAGACGTGATAAGAAATGTTTTCAAAAGAGCTGATTCCATAGTCCCATTTACATTGGTGTGAACAATGCTTAACAGGGAATTTCCCTGTGAGTCTTGGGAATGTCATTTCTCTTATAAAACTGACAAGCAAACAAAGAAAATACTACAATCAAATTTCAAATGGGCTTTTTCTTTAAGCTTCAGTGAAACTCAAATACGGAGGAATGAGAAAGGCATGACTGCAAACAATGAAAAATTTAAAATAAACAACAGTGACAAAAATCCACATCTGTATTTAGAGAGGAAGAGCCCTTTCACAATTTTTGAAGACTTGAAAGGTCTCAAGCCAACCAGGCAAAGTGGAGAGAGGACTGTGTCATCTCTGAATGGTTTATGGAGAAAACATCATATTTGGAATTGTCACCAGTGTCTTTATTTCCTCTCAGAACATTTCAAATGAGTTTCCTTTATTTGAATTTCTTGGCAATAATGTTAGTACTTCCATAATGGCAGCTTTGCATTCAATCCTGCAGGTTATAAGTAAAAACAAAATAAAACAAAAAGAATGAATAAAGAAAGGAGAAAATAATAAACTCAACCTACCCTTTAATATAGACTGTTGAGTATTTTTATTGTGCAATAAAATGGGTACCTCCACCTCCTTCAAAATAGCTTTTCCTCAAAATTATAACTGCTTTGTTTTATTGAATTGCTGAAATTTAATGGTTTAATGGGTGAAGGCATGAAGGAAAGGCTGTAAAAATGTGAATAATGGTGCAGCAGAGCCGTGCGGAATCTGGAACCCGCCTCCTTGTACAACTCTTGTTAAACACAGCATGATATGTATCTGTCATCGATTTAATATGTCTTAATTCAGATATAGCTCCCTGATCAATTTCTTTTTATGGAAGCCTTAAAAAAGAAAAGACTTTCTTAGGAAGCGATAGAGATTTGTGTCGATTGGAAAGAGGGATATTTACAAAGTGTGTTTAATTAATATTTCAAATTTATGACCAAACCCAGACCCTAAAAAGATAATTGACTCAGGTAGATCGGCTTGAGATGCTAATTCTTAAAAGAAAGAACAGGGAGCAAAATTTCAATCAACACCAATAAGGCGCCAATAAACCGCCTGCCAATTAAACCTGAGAATGGGCCTAGCAAGATGGTCATCAGAAAGGCTCGCGGTGAATTTCCGGGATTGCCTTTCTTTATAAAAGAGCTTTTTATTTTGTAGACGCGCTTTTTGTTATTGTGATGACCCGCCTGACCCCAGGTGTGCTGGTTCTTTTTCAAGCCATTTGAGAGCCAAATCAAAACCCCTTAACATCCCAGGTTTCTAAGGACCCAATAACTGTGTCACACTTCCTAAGTAAACACCAACAATTTCCAGGGTGTTGGAGAAAATAATAAATAGTAGACTTTTCTTCCTTCCTTCCTTCCTTCCTTCC